CAGGCTGAACAACCCCAACTCCCTCAGCCTGTCCTCGTAGCAGAGGTGCTCCATCCCCCTGATCATTTTAGTTGCCTTCTTCTTGATTCTGTTGTGGGAGCAGAAAGCCGTGAGACATCCTCCAACTGGGGTACATTCTCACTGAAGCCCATTTTTTCCCCTGATCACATTCACAATACTCACAGTCCCCTGCTGCTTGATAACATCCCAGGCAAGGCTGCTCTATCTGTCCCATAGAATCTCTCTACACCTTCCCATCCTCTCTTCTTCCTCCATAAAGCTCCTGGGCATCAGTCTGGAACACGGTGTCTGTGTTAGTGCATCCCTCCTTTAGACATGTAACTATGTCTTCTTCTGATTTAGCAGGTATTGCACTCTTTATGGCTTTTTTCATCTCCAGATCCTCTTTTTCTCTACTACCTCCCCTCTTCCCCCCTCCTCCCCCTCCTCCCCCCAGCAAGTAATTGGCCATAATGTTTTTTTTCTTATTCTCATTTATCATACCAAGAATTTTAGGCATAATCCCAAACTTGCCTGACATAGTGTGGTCTGTAATGGAAACTGTAGTCACTCTTAGCTCCTCAGACACACACAGCCATTTCAGATGTTTCTCGAATATCCATCTAATTACAGATTGGTCCAAAATGTCTCAAGTTTCTTTTTCCCTCACTGCTTGTTAGGGCTTTAGTAACGGTGTGAATCTGGGGTTCTTATACCACTGAAATTAGTAGGAAGGGAACAGAAACCGGCCATGGATTTCCTCTTCTACCATCGAATGAAGAGCATGTCAGTCCACCTCATGGATGGAGTCTTGGCTAAAACTTACTGCTGTGAAGTCTGAAGAGCAGAAGGTAGGAAGGAAAACAACAGACAGTCTTCCTGAGAAGGTTCATGAGGAGAAAGTGGAGCAGACGACTGCTCAGTTGTAACAGCAGATTTTTTTGGTACTTGGGCTAAGGGCAGTTTTTAAAAAGAGCTAGAGATTATAGTGGCCACCTCAGGAGTTTGAGGGACAGGTCTGTTTGCACCTTCAGAGTGTTATTGTCAAAAAGCACTTGGATAGCTTGGACAGCTTTGCAAACAAGCAGTCACAGCACAAAACAGCAGTGCAACTCCAGCCTATTTTTATTCATGTCTTAGGTGACAGGTAATACAGTAATTACTGTCTTCCTTTGGATATGAGGCAATTGGGAGAGAAAAAAAAAATCATCATGCACTATATGTGACTTGGTTATCATTCAGGTTTTCAAGTTGGTGATATTGGTGATTTCTTTTTTTTTTTTTTTTTTCCCTGAGGAAAAATGGAAGTTATCTGTTAAAGGAAGGAGCGTTTCTTGTACTGGTGAGGCTCGAGAGCAACAGAGACAAGAAAGAGTTTGTCACTGCTGTGAAGCAGTGATTTGGTACAGGAAAATGCACTGATGAGCTATGTATATCCATTCAAGTTAGCAGATAAGAGGAACTGTATCTTCATTTGTGGCAAAAGCTTCCTGTATCTTAATGGTTTTTCCCTCTCTGGGGAAATAAATGGGCTAGGTGTAATTTTCTTTGAAAATAGAAACTACTCCAGAAATGTGTTGTGTTGGGTCCAGTGCTGTACTCACACTGTAATGCTCTGAGTCTTGGCTCACAAACGAGACAGCAAGTTTTTTAGTTTATTCCAGTAGCAATCTTGCTGTACAAACAGGCGTGTGTGCACTTCTTGTCTTTTGGCTATAGGCATCTGTCCCCTCACCCTCATAGCACTGCACACCATCCATGGAGGTCTCCTGGAGGGATTTCTGGGTGGTCTACATTGCTGCTCCACTTGTCTGAAGGACA